TTTCTTTTCTTGTACGGTGAAGCCGTGAACCTTGTCTCCGATTCCGGGAAAGTTGTCTATACTTGTCACGGTCGAAGCAGATCTTCTCATCTGACCCCAGCGAAGCAGAGTGCTGCCAGAACCCAGCAGACGTCCGTTGGCCGACTTCGGTAAAACAGGCATGAGGCCTCTGCTCGCCCCAAGAGTTGAGCGCAACATGGTGACTCGTTTCGGAAATTTCAAAACGCGCGCAGCGGTTCTTTCACAGAGTACGGGTACGACTGACGTACTTTAGCAAGTCCGCAGCAGCTTCTTTGCGCACCGTAGGTTGTCGGTTGCCGTTCACCGGACAGACCGGGCAGCTCGGAGATGAGTTGGAACGCGCAACGAATAAACGATTGCACTCTTCTAGACCAAGGGTTGCAGACCAAGAGACTGGAACAAATAAATGCCCCAAAGAAGTAGAAAGGAGGATAAGAATACAGAAAGAGAAAGATAGGAAAGAATTGGAAAAGTGGTTAGAGTGTTTGAAAGTAGCTCCGTCGGCGCGACTCAATTGCTTAGAAAGACAGGCGGGCAGAAAGCGACGGAGCGGTGCCAAGAGAAGTTTTCGAAAGAGGCTAGTGCAGGTCAAGTACGCATCCCCCCCCCTCTTACGACTATTCCATCCAATCTTCCCCGGCAAGTTCCTCGAAGAGTGACCCGTTCGTCTGTGTCGACTCTTCTCGCAGTCGATACTCTCGCCCAATACTTTCTGTTTCGTTCCGCCTTAAAGGCATAGGCACGCCTTCGCTGTTGGTTCCCGACGCCTCCCGCGAGTGGGCTTCCGGTTGGCTTTGCAGGACTTGCATTCTAGTCAACCTTCGTGGGTTCCCGTTACCTCCGACTTCTGCAATTATAGGAAGAGGCCACCGAGGTTCTCCACTAGACTCGCCGGGTGGATACGAGTTGCCTTCAATCATAACACCTGCTACCGACTATTGTTCGCTTTGTCGCCGCGAAGAGTTTCCCTTCTTGTCTTGTCCTCGCGGCTATCGGAGGAAGTGACGCATTCGTCCCTGCCATCTCCCGTCAAATCGTTCCAACCTGGCAATTTTCACCGCTGAGAATTGGCCACGCGACCACTCTCAACAGCATCACAACCGCATACCTCTCGAAATATTCTTACGACAAACGGCGAACCATGTCGTCCGCGGCCATGTCCAAGAAAAAGCAGGGGAAGAAGGTTGCAGATCCGAATGAGACCTCGAAGCTGCTGGCCGCCAAAATCTCGCAGCTGGAGCAAGATGCTGCGGGAGAGAAGGACCAAGAGGCCGAGATTGGTGCGTGCACCCACTGATTTCTACGCCTGGTGTATCGATTACGCCATTGAATCTGGCTGGCAAAACGTGAATGAATCTGGTTGCTGATACTCCCACAGAGCGCGAGGTCAAGAAAGCCACGAGAGATCTCAATCAACTCCTCAACAATATCGAATCCCCGATGACGCGGCTCGAGACTGTGCACAAGAAATACACCGAACTTCTGGCCGACATGAAGAAGCTGGATCGCGACTATGCCAAGAGCAAGAAGCGGGCAGATCAACTCCAGAAGGACCAGGACAAGGGCAAATCGGAACTGAATAAGACCGTCACTATGAAGGACAAACTTGAGAAGCTGTGCAGAGAGCTCACAAAAGAAAATAAAAAAGTGAAGGTGGGTAGCTACAACTCGCCAGCATCGCATTCCCGAATCGAACAATGCAGAACCAGGGCTAAGGGAAACCGTGCACGCAATAGGACGAAAACAAGAAGCTCGAAGAAACTGAGAAGAAAGCACGGCTGATCGTCAACGAACGCCTCGACTCGCTTCTGTACGATATTCAAGACGTCATGGCTGCCAAAGGAAATCCCCGCAACGAGAAAGTGGATATCGATTTGGACGAAGCGTGAGTTGTTCTTTCCCAGTCTGCCTATTGAGCTGGTATGTTAAGCTCTTTTCATACCACAGTCTGCGTGCGAAGATCAAAACGATCGGCGAGAAGTTCGAAATGCGTGAACTACACTACAAGGCATTGCTCCGTAGTAAGGACGCGGAGATACAATGTCTTACCGCCAAGTACGAAGAACAACGGCGAGCAGCGGAGAACGAAGCTGCCCGCTGCCGGGCATTGAGTTCTCAGGTGTCAACTTTCTCGCATACTGAGGCGGAGTTGCGCAGCCAGCTCAACATCTACGTTGAGAAGTTCAAACAGGTATGGCTTGATACTTGATGGCTGTTCCAGCCAAGTCTCTATTTTGACCGCTGGTAGTAATAATATGGCAGGTGGAGGATACGCTGAACAACAGCAACGAGCTCTTCCTTACGTTTCGCAAAGAGATGGAAGAAATGTCCAAGAAAACTAAACGCCTAGAAAAGGAAAACCTCACTCTCACGCGCAAGCACGATCAGACGAATCGCAATATACTGGAGATGGCCGAGGAGCGCACAAGAAACCATGAGGAGCTGGAAAAATGGCGGAAGAAAAGCCACCACCTCGAAGCGCTCTGCCGACGAATGCAAGCCCAGGGGCGGGGGCAAGGTCTTGCAGCGGATCTGGAAGGCGATGACGAGGGTACGGAGAGCGAGTACGACGAAGATTACGAAGACGAAGAAGACGATGAGGGAATTAGCGATGACGATTACGAACTGGAAAGCCGGGATGGCGACCTGAACGGAGACCGCAACGTTGCTCAGCAGCCCGAGAAGCCTGTGTTCGGACCCCCTCCGCCACCTAATCTACTGGAAGCGCGAGCCAACGGAAATAAGGCGATGATCAACGGATGTCACTAATACCCTTTTTTCCGCACAGAAGTTGTTTTCGAATATGGTCTTTTGGGCTTGTTCTTGATATCAAATGGCAAAGGGATTTCCTGGCGGCACTTACGCCACTGCCATCAGTCTGAGGGTGGGTCATGGGCCTGATGAGCTGAAAATGATACATTCCCTGAACGCTATGAGTTGACCCGAATAATGTCAATGCTAGCCTCTTCATGTAGGGTGCCATCGCTGCTCGATGCAACACTTGTAGTCGCACCAGGTGTTGCAAAGAGAATCGGTGCTAAGGCTCCTCATCCAAAAACCCACCGAGGCCATTGAATTGCAGTAAGCACTGTCAGAGCCATAGGCCCTTTGCGAGTTGCGATTCTTTGACGTTTTGTTCATTTTTATTTCTGTTCGTGTACTTGTACATGCTAGATCACCAGCATCCGGACGTACTTATTACGTTACCATGAGAAAATACCACACAAAGTCATGTCATGCCAACTACTACAAAGATTCCTTTCCACAACCTCATAGTCTACTGGCTGGGCCTTGTATGTAGGATCTCCCCTTCTTCAGCATCTCGACAGCTTGCTGGACCATCTCTTTCACAATCTCAGCCGCCGGCTTGATACTGGCCACATTGGCTGAAACATCACCCATCAGGAACGGTAAGTCGACATCCTTATCGTTCTTGAGGTCATACTCCATGGGGACAATGCCCTGGGCCGTCAAGCGAGCGATCTCCTCCGGCCGCTTCTCCCAGTCCTTGACGTACTCATTCGGCAAAACCCGTAGCGGCCGCCCCGACACGACGAGAGTCCGCATGGTATCCCCATAGGTGGCGCCCACGACGGCCTCCTTATGCAGCCGACTGGCCCCGCTCTCCTCGGACGCCACGAAGCGCGTCCCGACCCAAACGCCCGCGGCCCCCAGCATCAACGCCGCCGCCAGACTGCGGCCATCGTTCACACCACCCGCCGCGACCACGAGGGGCGGCTGGCCCGTCAGCCGACTCCGGTACCGCTGCGCGACATCCACGACGGCCGGGATGAGCACCGAGAAGGGGATGTCGCCCGTATGCCCGCCGCCCTCGCCGCCCTGGGCGCACACGATATCCACGCCCCGCGCCAGCGCCTTCTCGGCGTGCTTGGGCGCCCCGACCATGTTCATCACCAGGATGCCGGCGTCGTGCAGTCGCGTGATGACGTGCGCCGGCGGCACCCCCACCGCCGACACGAACAGCTTCGCCCCCTGCGCGATCACCACCTCGATCAGCTCGTCCAGCTGCCCGTGCGTGTAGTCGTGGTTCGTGGCGCGCGCCCCGCCGCCCACCTGCGGCAGTGCCAGGTCCACCCCGAACGGCAGCGACGGGTCCCGCAGCCGGGATTTCAACTCGGTCAGGATCTCAGAGAGCTGCGATGGCGTGTAGCCCAGCCCCCCGACGGTGCCTAGCCCTCCCGCGTTGGAGACGGCGGCGGCCAGCGGCGCGCTGGAGGCCCGCGCCATCCCTGCCAGGAGGATGGGGTGTTGGATGTTGAGGAGGGTGCACAGCGGCGTTTGGAGGGACATGATTGTTGTTGGGTCTCTGGTTGGTAGGTAGTTGCTGGGTTTTTATTTGGTTGTGGTGTTGGTTTTTGTTGGGTGGTGGTGGTGGTGGTGGTGAGTTTGGAGGTATAGAAGTAGTAGTTAGCACTCGCTGCTTGCTGGCCGTGTAACGCGAGATCTAGGAGATTCTCAATGAGTAAGAGTATGACGAGGTGACACTAGACGAAGATTGAGATGGATTGTAGAAGCATTGATGCATGGTTCATGGCCCATGGCGACTTTTCAATGCCCCGGGTTTTATCTGTGAGGTGAGAGTTCCCCAGGACCATCTGATCGACGCTGTGCCTGGACAAATGCGGGGAAGCTCCCGACCGGACCGAGGCACCATCCATCACAGGTTCGCTGCTCGGCATATTTGGTGTTCTTATGCTCTTATGCTCTTATGCGACATGTACGGAGTATTATGTCGGATGTTGCCTTTCTGCTTGACCACACCTTGGACTACTACTGGCTGTATTGGACTAGGAAGCTGCATCATGAAACTAATCCTAGTATAGAACAGAGATGTCTGACAAGTTATACAATCAAATTAATCCATACTTATTGACAGTGAAATGCGAAGTCTCAGAGACACAGGTCAAAAGATAATAGCAACAGCTTGCGCGCAGCGCATAATGCTCTTGGAACCATTTTCACGAGATGAAAAGGCACAAAACAACCGAGAGTACGACAAGATTCGATTCCAATGTACTTCTTCCCGCCATCGCCGTCTGTGTTGCTTGAAGCACGGCCTGATTCTTCGTCGCTGTGCCGACCAAGACTATCACGTTCTTCCCCGAGCTACTCAGATACGACAGGTCAGTGATGCACTTTTCCAAAGGATTCAGAATGGCCTCAATATGCAGCACTTACCTTGCATCCCCAATGCCTCCATTCTCGCTCAACTTCTGAGAAAACGCTGTCGCACCGGCCGGGATGGTGGTTGTCGTGGTCGGTCGATGGACAGGCCCTGGGGGAGGCTGATACCCCACCGCACCTAATGGTGCTGTTGCAAGCGAGGCTGGCAGGCTTCTGCGCAGTAGGTTTGATGGTAAATTGTGTAGGAATGTCCCAGGATAAGCGGAGGTGAGAACGCCGGCGAAGAGGCTGATAGCCACGAAGTTGCGAAGTAGGCAAGTAATCAAGACCAAGACCCTCATCTTTGGGACAGGCAGTGATGACAGATTTGATGTGGGTTAACGTGATGTAAATGATAAAAATCAGAGGGTCATTCTACCATCGGTGAATAATGATCAATAACCCGCGACGCGAAGGAGGGGCATCGAACGCCTATATAAAGGCGATCAAATTCCAGCTCTGGATGATCAAGCGTGTGAGAAATGTTATGTCTGAGATGGCATTGCAAGAGCTCGGTACTTCATTGCTTGGTTGACTATGGGCCGGTCATGTAGAGCTCCTTCCTGGATACCACAAGTAGGTAACCTGGAGTGGGTACATGGTTCTCAAGACCCCCTAGCCAGATCTACCGTTGGCGACAATGTCAGGGCGAAAGAGAGAGAGGGAGGGAGAGAGATCGCATCATAAAGTTGGCCTACAGGCGTAAATGAAGCTCTGTTGAGGGATGCGAACATGCCAGGCGAAGCCGGGAATGCTCTCAAGGCACGCCCTATCTTCATGCTAATACGTGATACCTGTGGCAATCTGACATAAGGTCAGGTATGAGCATAAAATGACTTTTTCCATGACTGCGCTGTAGATGTCAGCGACTTGTAGCTGTCAGCGACCTGTAGCATTACTACCTTGGTTGCTTCATCGTTCATGACATGCACCGACGTATTCCGGTGGCTGGAAGCATATTAAGGGTTATTTCAAGGGGAGGTCCGTCGATAAAGACTTGGGACTAGGCAAAGAAACCTTTCATGGGTAAATATACAACCTGAGAGAGCAATCATCACTGGAAACAGTATGAATGGTTGTCAGTAGCAATGCAACAGTCCGTACGTACTATCACATAGTTAGCATGGATGTAGGTAAGGTACTAGTTTCTAAGCCAACCCCAAAACGGGACTGTAATTACCGAACGCCAAAAGACGCGTGGTTCGCGTTGGCCGAAGGACAGACCCGAAGACAATCAATGCACCGCAGCTGCCTCCGTCCGCGGGCAGCGTCAAACAACTCCCCAACTCGCCTTTGCAGCTGGTCTCTCTGCGGCTTCTATGCGACACACATATAGCCTTCGAAATGACGCCCAACACTTCAGAGAACCAGTTTCTTCGCGCTCCAAGGTTCGCTTGTCCGCATATTACATTAGCGATCGACGACATCACTGATAGTTTCTCCGGACAGCGATCAGGAGTTCGAGCCCGTTTATCGTGAACTTTCCTTTTACAATCCTCTAGATACGTTCCGACTACCCAGTGGACAAGACCGACACTACCAGCAACAATATGGCGATATGTATTTCTTGCGACTGGCCAAGTTGAAGCCCGCCGTCGAAGAAATTGCCGTGGAGGCGTGGGAAGGATTTAGCGTTAGTACAACAATCCTTTGCTCATGGTTGAGCAAATCTCTGATACTGGGATTTGTCCAACCGACCCAGCTTGAGGGTAATCTACTAATTGCGCTTTCACCTACAGATCGCGGGAGAAAATGCACGTCGTGTGGAAAGAGTGCTAGATGTACGACAGGGAGAGCTCTGCTGGGTTGCAGGAACCATTTACATGGATATGCCACTGAAGCCCAATATTTTGGACGATTTGACCAAGGAGGTAAGGCACACTCAATCAGCACATATGCGCACGTGTCCTTCAACTGACTTCGCATCGAAAGAATTACACTCTCGCCCCTCCTCCTCGCCCGACCTATCAAGACCCTGCCCACCCTGAATTGACACAAATCATGTTGGAAGATGAATCTGGACGACTGCGCCTGACGGGCAATTCGCTCAGCTCTACACAGCTTGCGACCGGCGCTATCATTGCGGTCCTGGGAACGGAGAATGCCAATGGTGACTTCGAGGTCATTGACATCAAGGTGCCTGATTTGCCTCGACAGCCTCCTCGCTGGGAGAGGGATGAGGTGGATTCAGCACAGAAAGAGTCTAGCAAGGGCAAAATTGCATTCGTTAGCGGCCTCAGCATCACAGGCACATCGAGTGATACCCTCGCATTAGAACTCTTGACGGACTATCTCCTGGGCTATGCAGGAAGCTTCTCGACGGAGCAGGATGATAACTCGCCACCGAAACCCTCTGCGATCACGAGACTGGTCATTGCTGGAAACTCGATCGGTACCAATATGACTACCGATGCTAGTGCTGAAGATGCAGCCGCTGCGAAGAAGAAAGCGGGCACCAAGAAGTACGGATACGACGCTTCCGCATACAACGCATCGCCAATCACGCAGCTAGACTCCTTCCTGGCAGAGATTCTACCGAGCATACCTGTTACTCTGATGCCCGGTGATACCGATCCCGCCAATTTCTCTCTCCCACAGCAAGGCATCCACCGTGCCATGTTCCCACGAGCCAGAGCATACTGCGCTCCACCCCCGGCCGGAGACGAGAAGCAGGAACCAGGCTGGTTTGATAGTGTCACGAATCCATGGGAAGGCGATGTTGAAGGGTGGCGTCTGTGGGGCAGCAGCGGTCAAAATGTGGATGACGTCCTTCGCTATCTGAATTTTTCAGATCGTGAAGGAAACGCCGCCTCTACAGATGGTGATGTTGAGGCCCGGGTGCGGATAATGGAGGCCATGTTACGTTGGAGGTGTGGAGTTCCAACCGCGCCTGACACCATGTGTAAGCTCGATTCGTCGTTTTACGTGTCGCAATATCGAGCTAAACTAATTGCAACAGGGTCTTATCCTTTCCAAACAGATGATCCTTTTGTTATCGAGACCTGTCCCCATATCTTCTTTGCCGGCAACCAACCGCGCTTCAAGACCGCGGTCATTGAGGGCGATATGCCCCTGAAACTAAACGGCGTAGACACAGAAATGACAGGCACCGAGGCCGATGTTTCCGTGCAGCGGGTTCGTCTTCTATCGATTCCCAAGTTCAGAGAGACTGGCGAGCTAGTCTTGGTTGATGTCGAGACACTAGAAGTTGAAGTGGTCAAGTTTGGAGCGTTCGCCGGCCAACAAGAAAAACAATGATATGCTCCGACTTCCACCGCAAACAACAAAAATAACTATAGATATCATGAATACCCAAATGTACTCTTTATACCACCAATTTTCGATCCTGGCGCATACGCTCCGACGATTGTATAGTTTCCTTGTGATAGCCGGCCCGGTGCCAAGACCTGCGCGGCAAAGCTACGGTTCGTCGGCCAAATTGTGGATTTTTGACTGCATACAACCCAACCATCAATCAAATCTACACGGAGGGTCTCCGCCGCTTCGACCTGCAACAGATACCTAGGATAAAACAATAGATTGGACAACAATTGGCAAAGATGTTACTCAACGAAAAGACCGGTAAGCAGCCGGGAAAACTTCCGCCGATATGTTAGCCCCAGCCAAGGCTCCTAAAACCCCGATCTATATAGCCATTTCAACCTCCAAGGTGCTGCTTGTACCGTACTCCAAGTGGCATGTCCCCAGATATCATGAATGGATGAAGGATGAGGTAAGATAGATCTGTGTCACATACCTCCTTGAACTCCCTCGCGTACTTTTTCTGGGTCTCCATCAATGCATCCCCCAAATCAGGGCAAGCATATCAACTAATCCAGGATAATTAGGAAATCCAAGCAGCCACGGCTTCTGAGCCCCTCTCCCTAGAAGAGGAGTACGCCATGCAACAAAGCTGGCGCCAGGACCCGGACAAACTGACATTCATCGTCTGCCAACCTACAACAACAACAACAACAAGCTCCTCCTCTGACTCCGCTGGAAAAGGTGAGGTCACAAAACTCGACGACCACACCGCCGACGAACCCCACCACATGGTGGGGGACATCAACCTCTTCCTCCGCGTCGACGACGGCGAAGAAGGGGAGTCGGACCCGCAACTCGTCGGGGAGATCGAGCTCATGATCGCCGAGAAGCGCAACCAGCGGCGCGGGTTCGGCAAGGCCGCGCTCTACACCTTCCTCCGGTATATCGTAGACCACGAAGCTGAGATCCTGGAAGAGTTTGTGGCGGGCGATGTCGCCGCGTTGCAGGCCCTGACGGTGTCTGGGCTGCAGCAACCACCGCGGCCGTGGAGGTTCGCCTGCCTGAGTGTGAAGATCGGGCAGGCGAATGAGCGGAGTTTGGCGCTGTTTGAGGGCGCGGGGTTCCGGAAGGTCTCGCCGGAGCCGAACTATTTTGGGGAGTTTGAGTTGCGGCGGTTGCGGGAGAGTTTGGAACGCGGGCTGGTGGATGAGAGTCTTGATGGGGCTGGGGTTGCGGGGTATACTGAGCTGGAGTATACGAGGGTTCAGTAAGAGTTACTACTACAGGTCATCTATCATTGGGCTTGGGCTGCTGCTTCCCTGCGGGTTTGCAGTCATACCCCAGATTCCGCGACGTTACATCTACCATCTGCACCGCTTCCTGCAGTGAGCCGGCGTTGCTATGCCGGAGCAAACGGCTAGTGAATGACGAGTGTATGCTGTGTCAATCCGCTCCATCGATCGACAAAAAGCAATAGCAATGAAAATTGCCAACGATCACGGGATATTCTTTTTTTTGTCTTTGATCAAACGCCGTAAGAATCCAAAAAGAGCTCCGACGAAAACCGGATACTGGCAAACGAAACCCAGTCATGTTTAGGAGTTCTACGTCCGGGAGGAACTCGATATGCCAGTGATGCATCACTGGCATAGCAGTTGCCGGCCAGGCGGGGGACGACTCAGCCCCTCCCGTGTATCTCACCCCAAACAGAAGCAATTCCATGCAACCTGTGGAGATGACACACCAGCACCCCATTCAAAAGCCAATCAATCTTTCAATTATCAATCGACACAAGAATTCAATTCCTGTTCCTTCTTCGAAAAAGAGGTGATATGAAAATTTCCATGCGCCGTTTGTTCGTCCGTTTTCACTTCCGAGCTCCACTTTCTTCACCTTAAACGCTTGACGTTTGACATGTCGAGGATCGTTTCGGACGAGAGGCAAGCGGTGTGCGATATAAGAAGGTTGGGCTAGGTTTTCCAAATTTACAAAGCCTTCTTCTTGTCACCGTTGGTGACATCGACAACCTTGAGAGCTGTTTGTTGGGAGGAGGGGAAAGGCCATTGACGTCAGCGGATGATGGTCCCGAGGTAGGTGTGGTCTCCCCAGTTTTCCCTGAGAGCTTGGCGGGGAGGGGAAACAGAAAACTATGAAGGGCTCAAGACGCACCAGGGGGAAGGCTCTGCTTGAGCTTGTCGGCCTTGTCGGAGTCCTTCAGGACAAGGGTGTAGACGTAGCGGGAGCAGCGGACCTTGAACTTGATCTGCTGGGTGTTGCGGTTGCGCTTGATGCGGGCAGCTGTAGATCACGAGACGATGGAAGAGAATTGTATTAGCCTCAATTGCAGTGACTCTGAGCATGTATTGTTATAAGGAGTTGGGGTCGGGCCATCATGTTGGTTTCTGGGCCCCCAAAGTGACTCGACTCTCCGCGGATGATCCCCCGCCTTGGGTTGGAACCCCAAGCTTCCATATCCGGGATTCGGTCCAGGTGTGCCACTCATTTTCGGGTGATTGGGGAGGGGGAGGGAAGGTCAAACGTACAGGACGCATCCTTGCGGCGGCAGATCTCAATGAACTGCTTGATGTCGGAGACTTCACGAGGCATAATGGGCAGAGGGGGTGGGTATGTGATTGGTAAGTTCGGGAGTGGTCGTCGTTTGAAGCTGAGCTGGACTGGCGGGCACAGTTAGTTCTCTCTCTCTCTACTTAGTTCTCTTTTGCGCTAAGCTTGAAAGGGTGGGCGGTGGGAGTGTCTCCTCGCCGTTCTGCCCCCTTCGGCCCGTGGGATTGACCGGGCCTCGCTGTGTGGGATGTAGGGTTGCCGCCCCGGGAAGCCCTGAGGGTTGTCCTTGTCCGTGCCACATCGTGGCGGAGCTTAGCTTCATTGCTTGACGGGAGCTGACGTTGTTCCTGTGGCGGTGCTGGCCAGACTCCTCCCCCGACAGGCGGCCGCTTTACTTCAACCCCCGTTGGTCTATCCATAGTTTACCACCCACATCGAAGCCTGAGGAAGGAAACTACTGTGATATCGCTGGTCTACATGTAGCATATCTGGCCAGTTCCATTAAGCCAGATAAATATCCTAGCCAACCACTACTGCCCATCGTGACTTCTGTATCCAAATCAACCTTACGTCAAGAATACATCCAAGATGCCAACGCCGTTGGATCGTGCTTTGAACTCCAAGGTACACACCCTCAGATGAGAAGTCTATCATAATTAGCTAACGTACAAATCTCTCTAGAATCTCTTTTTGGGTATGGTCTTGAGTGAAACATGCAGGTGTTTCTTGGAATCAACATTCTAACTTTCTTTCAGGGTTCACTGGGATGGTGACAGCTGCGGCCGTCTGGGCTATTTGGGGTAGCGACATGTTCCCTGCGGAGCCAGACCCGACAGGAGGTACGGGTTGGGGTCCTTGAGCTGTATTATTCATGCGTTGACTTCTTTTAGACCCCGAAACCTGGTCTCATGATGAAATGCGAAGATGGCTTCGGGCGGTAAGTCTGACCCCGTAGAAGTTCCTTCGAACCTTGCGCAGATGAATAGGCAGCTCCCTAACAACCAGATAGAGAGGACTTCTGCCTCATGAGAGCGCAACGCGTGAAGAGCTGCTTGAGCGCATAAAAGCCAATTTGCGCGTGCCGCGCAGAAGCCAAGCTTGATTTCCGAGTCGGGCATGGTGTATGGGCGAGCTCCGGAATAGTGTTTTCTTTTATCGGCATGTCATAGCGTTTGTAGGTTGAATGTTTTTCTTCTCATGCGGTGTATCTCAAGTTGAAACAAATGTCGTTGAATGTCTTTCGTTGATTCGTAGCGCATCATGTGAATTGTTACTGGACGACGCGTCCGCCTCGCGCGATCATGCCTCCATTGATTTGCTCTTCTAAACCACCAGCCGGAAGTTCTGAGTCTGAATGAGCCATTCACGCCTGCGCTTTCCCTTCGGTCCATCGGCAGTGGGGTTCGGGACCAGGACGAAGGTCTCGCTGAATCCGCGCTGTGGTAGATCTCTGGATTCGCCGAAGCGGACAAAGCCGCTGACGATCACGAGGATGGACATATCCTTGACGGTGGTCTCTGTGGGGAGCTTGAAGCCCGTAGCGGTAGGTGTAGGATATGTGCGATTGATGATCTGGCAGTCGAATGACTGCACTTCGTAGTGAGTGGGAGTCATCTGGTTGACGAAAATCTCCTGGACGGCGGCGCCATCAGCGACAACGTTTCCGTTGAAAAGGATAGTCGAAGCCTGTTGACTGTAGAATGAGGAAATGGTGGCGCGGTTGGACTGGAGTGCAGGATAAAAAGAATTCACAAATTCAGTTGCCGCTGTAGGTGTGAGAAAGTTCCATCAGTAAGAGGTCACTAGATTTAGACGGGCAAACCCACGTACCCTCCGTGGAATGCTTGACCAGCGTGTCTTCAGATGCAGGGGCCATTGTGAGCTGTAGCAGCGGTTTCTTCCTATAATAATGAAGGGGTGAAGGGGGAAGATAGCGCGTGAGAGAGCGTGAGAGAGCGTAAAAGAGCGCACGCGAGAGGAAGAGCGAGATGGTTGCGGAGGAAGGAAAGGCAAGGCCAGGCCGAGCGGCAGAAAAAAGGCACGGAAGCTTGGACCACCTTCCCGGAGACGAGCTTCGGAGAAGTCGCAGGTCCGCAATCATTTCCACCTTCCTTTTCTCTCCAGACATCCCCAACAATGGCAGTGCTGAGGGCTGGTACTTGTGCTCTGCCATGGGCAGGCCGGTTCCTGGCTTCCAGTCGATCCTCCTGGAAACTTGCATCGTGTAAGGCTGCGCTCACCGCGACAATTGCGCGTCCCCGTCGTTTCGCAACAGCGGCCTCCGAGCCCACTCCGGGGAAGCCGTACTATATCACGACCCCGATCTTCTATGTCAACGCCGGTAAGCTGATTGCAATACTTCTTCTCAGCTGGGGGACACGTAAAGCTAATGACTGGTTCTTTCTAGCTCCTCATGTCGGCCATCTGTATACCATGGTCATTGCCGATGTCCTGAAGCGATGGCGAACATTGCTCGGCGAGACCGATGCTCAGCTACTGACGGGAACCGACGAGCACGGAATGAAGGTATCCCAAGGCCTATAGACGGAAACGACGCCGAATGATAATGAAGATTGACTTGTCGCCGTCATAGATCCAGCAGGCTGCTCTAGCCGAGGGAATGGAAACGCAAGCGTTGTGCGATCGGAACTACAAGAAGTTTGAGGTGGGTATCTGTCAATCACCGGCTAGCTTGTCTCAATCATGCTGAGTTGAAATCCCACAGGACCTGGCGAAGGCTGCAGACTTGGACTACAACTACTTCATTCGAACGACGGAGCCTGCGCACAAGGAAGCGGTCCAATACTTTTGGGTATGTCAAGCCATGCTTTTACCTTTGGCTTCCACTAATAACGGTATAGGAAATGCTGCAACATAGGGGGTTCATCTATACCGCCAAGCACGAAGGATGGTACTCGGTCAGCGATGAGACCTTCTACCCCCAAACACAAGTGCATAAATCACTTGATCCGGAGACGGGACATACGAGGATGGTGTGTCTATATCAAGCTTTGCATTGGACATGAATAACTAAGCTAACTTAGATTAGATTTCTATGGAAACAGGGAAGGAAGTGGAGTGGTCTTCGGAAACAAACTATCATTTCCGACTGTCAGCCTTCCAGGAACGCCTACTAGATCTATACAAAACCGGCTTCATTACCCCAACGAATTATACAACCAACATCGTCAAGTCCGTTTCTGAAGGTCTTCAAGATCTGTCGATCTCCCGACCTTCGGAGCGTCTGACGTGGGGTATTCCAGTACCCGGAGACGACACGCAAACCATCTATGTCTGGGTAGATGCGTTGGTCAACTACCTCACTAAGGCAGGCTATCCCTTCGCTCCGGGCCAAGGGGCTCGCCTTGGTTGGCCGGCGGATGTACATGTGGTTGGGAAAGATATTGTTCGGTACGAGTTGGTCCTTTGCGCTTCTGCGTAAGACAACATAGCTAACCATATAAAAGCTTCCACTGTGTTTACTGGCCAGCCTTGCTTATGGCTCTCGATCTTCCGCTGCCTCGCAATGTCCTGGTTCATGGGCACTGGACCTTGAATCGAGAGAAAATGTCCAAGTCCACAGGCAATGTGGTAAATCCTTTCTTCGCAATCCACCGCTTTGGCGTCGACACGATGCGCTTCTTTCTCATTCACCAGGGTGAACTGGCGGGAGACGCAGATTATGACAACGCTTACATCATCCGCGATTACGAGAAGGTGTTGCAAAAGGGCCTCGGCAACCTCGCTGCACGGACGATCGGGTGTGCGAAGAAGGAGTTCCGGACTTACATCGTCAATGGAGTAGAGGGAAGGCTTCCCTCGCCGACATCTGCCGATACGGACTATGAAGGGCAACTGAGAGAGCTACCCACGAAGGTTGCAAACCACATGAACAGCCTAAACCCGCGTGCAGCCCTGCAAGAAATCAGGGCTATCATTGAGTTGGTAAGGAGCCATACACACCTCTTCCTCTCCCCCCTTATCAAGCCCTCGAACTGAACTGACGAATTTGGCATCAGAGCAATAAGTACTTTCACAATGCGGCGCCCTGGCAGAACCCTGGAGAGACCCAGCGAGTCATCTACAATGTCGCCGAAACCATACGGATGAGTGGTATTCTGCTGAAACCATTTATGCCCACCAAATCGAAGGAGATTCTGGACATGTTTCAGGTGCACCCACAGAGCAGAAGCTTCGCGTCGGCCGAGTATGGGTCGGACCCATCCTACGGAGAAGATACCAAAAAGAAAGTCCTGTTTCCCCCGCTTCCTTGTCGATTTGATAACGAATAGGGCCCGGGACCCAATCACGACATCCAGTCTGGAAGTAAGGCCGGTCATCCCGGTGTGGGAGAAGAGGAGAAAAGGCGAATCTCCTGGGAGGGTCACGATCTCCGCTCCCAGCAAGTGCGGGATTCCAGAGCGTTCCTTCGACCCGGTCAGGTCAGTCGCTTGATAAAGGTTCGCCAACGGGCGCTTTATCCCTGACCTATGCCCCATCTGCAAGGGAGGTTTATGTTATGTCATCGGTGGATGGCGACTAGAGCAAGGTTTCGTAATGTTTATCAGCGGGAAAATGGGGGTGGTGAGTGGTGGTGGTTGCGCTCCGCCCAGGCCTGGGAGATATCGGTTCGGGAAACTCAGGGAGAGAGGGTTTCCCGCGGCAAACTGGGTTGGTGTGAGAGCCGACTATATCGGGAACCGTGCGTTGTATATCACATTCACTGGGGTGGTCCAGAGGGTTATATCATGAGGAGAAGTATATCAGGTTTGTTGGTTGAGTTTCTCTGACGGATGGTTTGTGAAAAGAAACGCAGAGGATCTCATCTCAACTCATTTCTACCTATTCTTGGTTCTCTCCCCTCCTATCTTGTACATTATCGTTTCTATCCTTCACATACAATCACTCATCGATACTAGATCTTCCATACTTCCACAAACAACGCATTTCCTTTCACCTTATTTTTCTGATCCCAACAAACCGGGTCTCATCTCCCTCCTCGCCCACCCTTGAGGAAACACGCCCACTTTCTCTCCCCAACGAAAGAGCAAACCATACAACCATGGGCAGCATCTCCCTCTCCCAGACGGATCCCACCGCCACCAAGAACACAGACCTCCCAACCTTTAAAACCCCATGGCACCCGACCCCGTTAATCGAATCCACCACCCTCTCCCGCGCCGCGGGGTGCCGGATCTTCCTGAAGCTGGAGAACCTGCAACCGAGCGGCTCCTTCAAGTCGCGGGCCATGGGCAACCAGATCCTGTCGCACCTGCGCAAGCCCGAGCACGCCCACCGCGCCGTCCACTTCTACGCCTCCTCCGGCGGCAACGCGGGGCTGGCCGCCGTCTGCGCCGCCCGCACCCTCGGCTACCCCTGCACCGTCGTGGTGCCCGTCTCCACCAAGCCCCTGATGGTGACGAAGCTGCGGCGCGCCGGGGCGGCGGACGTCATCCAGCACGGGGAGACGTTCGCCGAGGCCGGCTTGTACATGAAGGAGGTTGTCATGCAGACACAATCTTCTGGAGAGGAGGGGGAGGAGGAGGTGGTCAAGATCGCGCTGCATCCGTTTGATAATGAGCCTATCTGGGAGGGCAATAGTACTATCGTCGATGAATTGGTGCATCAGATCCCTTCGCCGGTGGGGCCGGAGGAGGAGGCTGCGCAGGCCGGACGGGCGTTGCCTGTCGATGCGATTATTTGTAGTGTCGGGGGTGGCGGGTTGTTGAATGGGTTGGTCGCGGGGATTGAGCGGGCGCGGGCGCGGTTGGCCAGGCCGTCTTCGTTGGCCGAGGATGAAGCTGATCAGGAGTCGGTGGTCAAGCCGGTGCATCTGCTCGCCGTGGAGACCAAGGGCACGGATTCCCTGGCCGCCGCGCTGCAGCACGAGGAGCTGGTCTCCCTGCCCAAGATCACCTCGCAGGCTACCTCGTTGGGCGCGGTGCGCGTCTCCGAACGCACCTTCCAGTATGCCGTGAACCCGCCCCCGGGCGTCAAGGTGCATAGTGCCGTGTTGTCGGATGCGGAGGCGGCCAGGGGCGTGTTGCGGCTCGCGGACGAGGAGCGGATGTTGGTGGAATTGGCGTGTGGGGTTTGTGTCGAGGCGGCCGTTGGCGGTGGTTCGTCGTCGTCAGCAAACAAGAAAAGGAAGTATGTGGATGAAGGCTACGGCGATGATCGGCTGTCGGCTGGGGAGAATGACGACGAGGGCTTCTCGCCCGTGCACCCCCCTTCGCCTGCGGCGGCATCGCTGTCGTCGAAATTGAATCAGTTGATCCCCGACTTGAATGAGGACAGCCGCGTGGTCATCGTCGTCTGTGGCGGCAGCAATGTCACCATCGATATGGCGGCGGAATGGCGGAAGATGCTGAGTGAGGGCTGGGCTTGACTGCGTTGGGATCTTGGGTTGTGTCCTATACGAATAGATAGGCTGCTCTCTGGGATCAGATCCTGGATGCGCAGGTCTCCTCTTACGATCTTTAATGAATTCATGATTGTTTTTAGATTCGCTTTGGGTGTATTTTGCCTCGGTAGCAGGAGAACTAGAGCCGGATGGAATCTGATGCCGGAATGCTATCTTCTTCTGTCGTTTGTCGGGTAGAGGGCAATGATCACTGTGTGGCAGGGGGTGTTGTCCGAGACTCGGTTGGGACAATTCGACGGCTCTGCATGCATATACACGTTCTATAACCAGACTGTCAGTATTTACCTTCCTGACCATGGACATATGTATTTTGTGCCGGAGAGGTTTTGGCTTACCCTCTGTTTATCCCCGACTTCAGTGACATTCTGCTTGCTGATCGTGACGGCGTCTGAACGTGCTTATGCCGAACTTCATCACGTCAAGCCGGATCCCACCATGCCCGCATGCTTCATTCACTATGTTGACTCCAAACTACCTGCTTAGTCCCATTTTCTTGTGCCTTGATATGCTATACAGGTGCATCATGATCATGGCCCCCCTGGATGTCCTCTCCCTCCCCATCGTCCTCCTCGTCCTCCCATTCTGAATCCGCCTCGCTTTCTCCCTCAAAAGGGTCAGTAAAGGTGACTATCCCCTCGTCTTCTTCCTCGTCATCTAAATCTTCGTCGAGCATGGTTATCAGTTCTACCAGAGCAGGTGAGACTGCCACACCCTCAAGCGGTAGAGGAGCTTGTTCGGGACCCCACAAGTTTCTCCCGGCTGCAGCCGAGTCCTCAGATCCGTTGGCATCTTGGTTCGACTTGGGCGTATCACCGTCAAGTTTGGGTGCTAGGTTGAGTACACGAACTGCCTTGATGGGGAAGATACGAGCGGGGCCTTGCTGTGGTTGTGGAGGTGTGGCTCCGGGGAGATGAGGCAGCGATTGACGCCATGCGATAGTCTAGTCCGAATGTTAGTCCTGCGTATCCCAATTCCACAATTGAAAGAAATGTAACATACAGTGTAAGTAGTCATGATCGCATCATCATACAGAGCCATGAAACTGACCGGCACATTGAGATGCACCACGGAGCTGGTGACTAGTGAGAACGACCCGCGGGCAGGACGATCTCCAACTTGTACTCGATCCTTGTCATCAAGCCCGACAACATACACCCGGTCTTGGATTTCGAACATCACGCGGTGGTTACGCACTGACAACCACCCGCCCAGGTCAAAGCCCCGCCCATTGGAATCACATTCGATGAGATCACTATGCGCCGCCATACTGGCTGAACTTTCGAGTGCCTTACGCCAGTTAGAGCACACGAAAACACGACCAGCACGGGAGAAGCCGGTGAAGAGGTCACCATCTAACATGCCAGCTCCCCATTCGTCCTCCCTGTTGCGAACATGCTCAGGGTCATTGGGTGTTGGGAACGGGCCCCGTTCGACCTTGATCGGAACCAGATGATCTTTGCGAGATACCCCCTCCTGGTATGATGAACGCGATGTCCCCTGACGCACGGCGTCTGCAAAGCCCGCGAATGCTGCTCTTGGAGAGGGGTGCGCGACCGCTGGCGGGCGAATGTGATACTTCTCCGTACAGAGTGACGGCTGCAACTCACCCAAGAACGCTCCCGACTTTTTATCGTAGACGTGATATCCTCTTGGACCCATGGAGTAGATCACGGCATCCTGACTCTGGTCGAGATGGCCCACAGCATCATACTCAATGTCCAGGTGCGTAGTGAGCTGGGGAGGTCTCTGTGTCATATCGTACACGAAACCCTGCCCCTCGGTCGAAACCACGCAGAGTGTTCCGTACGAGAGCTGGAAGCCTCGCGTTTGACAATCATGGTCCAATATTGCGATGCGCCGGAATTCGCCACGCTTGGCCCCCTCCAGATCCGCCTGCCAGACCTCCAGTGCATCGCCCTCGCGATCAAAGACGGCCATGCCATCCTGATATTCCAGATGCGCAAAGGGGCGGACCGCATCCTCATCGCTATCCAGCGTCGAGGGAAGGTTCCACAGATTCAGGCCCGTGTCCATGTCAGTGACGTATAGTCCGCCCGCATGCGATGTTGAGATGAAGATTCGACGCTTGAAGTCGGGGCGGAACCGCCAGATAAACTCATTGCCGACCTGCAGCACTGACTCTCGCGCAGACGGTTGCGACTCGGCCCAATTGCGGGTGAGCAGCGCATGGCGCTTACACAATTCTTTGCATGGTAGAGCACCTTCGAATAACTTGGAGAATGTGGTGTTGCTCAGCTGAGAGGAGCGTCCGGAGGGTTGATTATTCTTAAGTGCAGCGGCGTAGATCGCTTGTTGGTGTGTGACGTCGATAAATTGATGCCAGGCTTTGGATACCGCCGTGAGAGACGCTAGGGTGGGTGCGGGGGTGAATTCCAGGACCCGTAAAACAACCTCTGGAGGTAGAACGCTTAGAGGATCTGCTAAGAGTTCAAGGTCAGACATTCTCAGTTCAATGGGTGTTCTATGAGGCAGGAAGTCGGAATAAGAGAAGTTGCAGAGAGTTGGAGAAGAGGGGCCCTTGATACTGATGATTCTGTCTCGGCTCACCGCCCCCGATAAGGATTACATTTCTTATCGCTCCGCTCTATCGGAAATACGGAAGAGTTGCGATAAACTAAGTATATACTTGAGTTTCACTGGGTACATGCAATGCAATTAGAATGGCTGAGCCTAAATCAGAATTCACAATCATGCAGAAATCTCGCCTCTGGTCCTGTAATAGATCGAATCCGATAATCCCAGTAGTTTCTCCGAATGGGATCATACTTCTCCTTTAGCAATGTGAGCATTTGAACCGCTTTCTGGCCTGACGTTGGCTCCGTTTCCTCTGCAAGCACATCAGCGAGCCATTCTATGGCATGGCTGCTCTTCACCTCGAAGTCGTTGTGCTTTTCCGTCACAAACTTTCCAGCAAAGTCCTTCCACTCCGCCAGGGGTCGGCCTGCAGCGCGCAGCACACCCCTCGCGTAAGACCATGGACTGCGATTCTCTGGCGCCCGGACGATTTTGGACTGGGCGAACTTCAACTCCGCGTCGACTACGTCCTCATCAACCACTGCCAGCTGGCCCTTCTCCGCGGGGAGTCCGTCACTATTTGGCATCCCTGCATCGGGCTCCCCGTCACGAGGCCCAAAACGAAGCATAAAACGGTGATTCCAGGCGGAATTGTTTCGAACGTCCGAGGTCAACAAAGCCTCCACATCCTGAATTTCACGTGGAGCATCCCACAGCTTGAAATGCCGCACCAACCAATGGCG